TTTATATTAGATATTTTAGTATTTTACTAAAATTCTTTTATAAAAAATTTATAAGAAAAAGAATATTAAATCTTTTAATATTTAAGATTTTAATAAAAGACCTGTAGTTATTATTTTTAAAAGTTTTAATAATATAATACTAGTAGATTTTAATATATTAATATTAATAGATTTTAATCTTATATATTTAAAAGAATTATCTGGATTAATATTAAGAACTAGTTATTTAATTAGTTAAAATATATATATTATTTTTAAGAAAAAAAATTCTATAAAATATCTAAATTTCTGAATAATCTTATTAAATACTAAATAGTCGATATTCTAGTTGAATAAATAAAAAATAATATCTGCTTATTTTAGTAGTTTTAATATTCGAATAATATAAGTTATATAGTATATTATATTTTTATTTAACTGCTGAATATAGTAGCTGCTTAATATATTATAATATATTATAATCTAATATTTAAATTCTATATATTTTAGTATTTTTATTTCTATATTTTTTTATATAAAAAGATAATAATATTATAAAACAGAAATATAAAGATATATATAAAAAAAAAACAGTTAGAATCCCAGTTTTTATATTATTAAAATAAAATACAAGCTCGGTGAAGAAGAAAAAAAAATATTAATATTTAAAAAAATAATTTTTAGTATTCTAAAAAAATATATTTAAGAAAACCTAGAATTATACTAGATATACTACTAACTTATAACTATATAGCTATATATAAAAATATAAAGATTTTAAAAACTTAATATTTATTAATAAATTAATTATTCTATAAAATATTGGCCACTTTGTATACAGCTGAGATAAAAGATAAAAAAATAAGAAAAAGAAAAAAAGAAAGAAACTATAGAGATAAGAGATATAGAGACGGGGAGGCTCAAAGACAACAATAATAATATTTTTAATATTTTATTAATAAAAATTAATTCAATTAGTCTATTTTACTCTTTTCTATCTAATTAATTTATAATAATACTTTAAATACATTACTAATTATTTTTTTAAACTTTTTTAAATTATTTACTGAATGTTTATTTTTATACTAAGATCGGTTTTTGAGAAAGAAATTTTTATAATTAAAAATTAAATTAATTAGCTAGTTATATTACAAAAAAATCTATAAAATTATTAATGAAAAGCTAATAAAGTGTAAAAAAATATTATAGTAAAAAATATTAGCTAATAATTTTTAAAAAGAAATTTCTAATAAAATTATTTATTGAAAGTTTAAAAATTAAAATCTTTTTTTAAAGCTAGTTTTTTAATATATTAGATTTTTAAAGATACTAATAATTATTAAAAAATAAATATATTAAATTTTGCTATTTAATCATTATAGTTAAATTTATAATATTTTTTCTATATTATCATTAGAATAATAAAACTTTAACATAAATTTAGAAGACTAACTTTATTCTTTAGATTTAAAAAAAGTTTAAAATTAAAGATATTAAAAATAAATAGATTTTTAAAAATAAATAATATTTTTTAGTTAAATAAACGAACTGGCTAAATAAATATAATAAATTAATTTTTACAAAAATTTATAAATAATATTTAGTAAGCTAATTAAAGCTATAAAAAGTAAAAAAGATTAAAATAGTAAAAAATATTTTATTTTTAAATACAAGAAAAATAACTGAATTTATATTAAATTATTTTATTAAATATATTCAAAATTTAATATTAAAATATATAACTAAAATAAAAATTTTTTATAAATAAATTAAATTTTTATTAAAAAATTATTAGAATAATCCGGCTAATCAATACTTTTTTTTTAAAAAATAAAAAATAAAAAAAAGAAATAATTTTATTTTTCAAACATAGAAATTCTAAAAAAAGATCTTATTATTATATGTAGTATATATTTTATAATAGATTTTTTTTAAAAAATATCTACTTAGCTTTAGTTTATAAAAAAATTATTATTTTTAAATATTAAACAAAATATAATCGGATTATCTATAATAAAATAATAATCTATAATAAAAAAATAATAAAAAATTAAATTAAACTGATAAATTAGTTTATAAATCAACTAAAAATTAATAAAAAAATATTTAATAATTTTCAATTTATTAAATATTAATTAATTTATATTTATAGTAATAAATTAGTTCAGCTATTTTAAAACTAATAATCAAAATTAAAATTAAATAATTAATTTAAATATAAAATGCTAGATTCTAACTTGAATCTTAATTAAAAATAATATAATTAATAAAAAACTTTTAACTCTAATTATAAATTTATAAAAATTTAAAAATATTTTCTAATATATTTATTAAAATCTAGTTTTTATTAATTTAATAAATTTATTAAAAAATTATTTAAATATATTTAATGATAAATCTAAATTTATTAAAATATCATTTATATATTATAAATATTATGGTATTAAAAATATAGCTAGATATAAAATTTTTTATATTAATAATATTAATATATAAGTAATATAAATAAAAAAAAATAGTTTAAATATAATAAATATATTAATTAAATAATAGTAAGTAGTTACCAGTATTAATTATATTAAGAAATAATAAAAATAATAATTTTAAAAAAATAAATTAATAAATAAATACTGAATACATAATAAAAGTAAGAATAAAAGCAATAAAAAAAGAAAATATAAATAAAAAAATTTAATAAAAAGTTAAAATATAAAAATCAATAAAAATATATTAATCTTTTTGATTTATATATATAGATTTTAATTAGATTATTAATAAAATATATATTTTATTTATTATTCTAGGTACTTTTATTTCTATAATATATAGTTTATTAAATAATTTTTTATCATTATAACACCGAACTTTATTATTTAGAAAATATTATTAGTATAAATATTTAATTAAAATAAATAATAAAATTATTTATAGTTATATTATATTATTAAATAATTTAGCTTAATAAAAAATATAATTGTTATATAATATTTATTATTATAATAGTTTATATCTATTATTATAAAAATCTATTTTAGGATTAATATAAATTTATTATATTTTTAATCTAAATATTTATATTATTATATTATTTATTTTTTTATATAATATATTATTTTAAAATCCTTCAAAGAAGAAGATTTCTTAAGAATTAGTTTCAAAATTAATAGAAGACTATTTTTAAATATTTTACTTATCTTACCTAACCAGTGTGTCTACTGTATTAAGTAGTTTCTAACCAGATTTTTAAAAAATTATGTTTATTTTAGTAAAATATACTATTATCCGCAGAAAATATTATATTTTTATTTTATAATATTTTATTTATTAAAAGGAGTACAGTCTAAAAAATAATATATAAATATACTTATTTAATATTAATATTTCCAATTTTATTTATATATTTAAATATTTTGAATAGTTACTATATTAATATATTTATAGTTTATTTATTTATTTTTATTTATTTATTTTATTTTTTTGTTTTTTTTATTTTAAAATATATTGCTGTTTTATATATTTGTTTTAGTTAATAATTTATTTTTTATATATTACTATTTTTATTATCTTACTTTTATTATATACTGTTTTTTATATCAATATTTATTTCTTTATATATATAATTAATAACAAGAATGTTTTTATTTTAATATTTAGTATATATTATTGTTTGTTTATTTGTTTATCTATAATAACATTCTACTATTTATTTATCTAGCTGTTTTTTTTACTATTTCAGCAGCGGAACTTTAAGACTGTTAATTTCTTTTATTCTTGATCTTTTCTAATAATCATAATCATATTAATTAATCATATTACACTTTGTCCATAACATTAACAACTTTTTTATGTAAACCAGAATAATTAAGATTGTAAGCCGGAGACTACTAAAAAAAGCAATTTATTAAAAATAATTTAATATATAATTAAATAATTTTGATATAAAAAATATTATTATTAAATTAATAAACTTAAAATATCTAGAAATAAAAATAAAAATAAAAATTCTAAATTTAATATATAAGCTTAATAAAATATTCTTTTTTTATTTAAATACTTACGTTTTATTAATATTAAGAAAAAAAATAAAAGAAATTAATAATACAGTATAAATAAAAATAAAAAAATTCTAGTATTAGACAGAAAAGTCGGACCGTCCAATTTTTAATACTAAGAAATAGTAGAATAATATACTTCTAATAAAAAAAATTATAAATAATAAAAAACTAATAAAAAAATAAAAACAGAATAAAAATATGTAAAAAAATAAACAGATAAACGATTAATATAAAATAAACTTAATATTAAAAAAATAAAAATAATACTATACTAACAGAAATCTAACAGATATAAATATAAAAAATATATAAAAAATAAAAAACAGCGCGGGTGTATAAAATATAAAAAATCTATTTAAAAAATAAAATTGAATAAAATTAAATAAAAGACACCAGAACTTACTTTCTATATAGTAATAAAAAATACTATTAATAATAATTAGAAGATATAAATATAATATTAGCAAATATAAAAACAAACAAATATATTATTAGCAGAAAAAAAAACTAACAGCTTGTTAAAAAAGAATTCAGAAATTAATAAAAATTAAAACTATTTATATATATAAAGCAGAACTATTTATAAAATATGAAACAGAAAATATATAAATATAATATTCAAAGAAATAAAAATTCTCGGATATATTAGAAAATTAAAATATTAAAGACAAAAACAGAAATATGACATACTATTAATTAATATAAATAATTTATTATATAAAAAATAGTTATATTTTTCATCTGCTATAAATAGTAATACAGTAGACAGTAGACGCTAATACTACAGATAACGCCCCAGACAGGAACAACAGTTACCACCGGTGAATAATCAGTAACAGCCATATTTATTAAGTTTATCTATATTTAAATAAAATCTTCAGATATTATTATTTCTAACAGAAAATCTTAGTTTGGTTTAAAATTCTAACAAAAATTTTATTATATTTTTTTTCAAATTAAGTTGAACTCCTCTAAATATACTTTCTTCATTTATGTAATCCTCATATAACATCTCATACTAAGAATGGAAAACACAGAATTTCTCTATACATGTATATATACACAGCGGCATAGTATTCCCCGCCTGTGACGGAGCCATTTGGAACAATAGCTTTTCATAGTCCCATTACATTCCTGACATGGCTCATAGTCTGTTGAGCATTGGTCCTGGCTGTATGCTTTCCCTGTTCAGCGACAGCATCTAGATACCCGCCCTTGTCCGCAATTAGTTGTAAGTATCTTTCCCTGATAGGCGCAAGCTTGCTCGAGATCTGATTTGCTAGGGTTTCCTTCAGAGCCCTGAGACTAGAAAATCGGTGCTCCGAGACTAAATCCTCGCATGTTCTTCCGTCAAAATGACTAAGAAGCTCTAAGAGATTCGACACACCGGGCCTGCCAATGGGGTCGTACGTTACGCCTGCTTCCGAATCCGTGAGCGCAACCTTGATCTTCTTACAAATTTCCTCTGAGGAGTCGGTGAGAAGAATTCTGGATCGTGGGTCACTATGAGACTTGGACATCTTAAGATTAGGCTCTTTGAGAGACATCACTCGCCTAGCGGGTGCTACAGGGCATTCCATAGTCAGTAATCTTTCTCTGCCGTGGTAACACTTTCATTGGGGAAACTAAAAGCGCCTTACATATAAGAGCCTCCGGAACTGGAAAAACCCGACCATATCGATGGTTAAAACTATTCGCAATATTCCGAGAGAATTCGAGATGTTGCCTTTGATCCTCTCCAACTGGAACGTGGGTAGCTCTAATCGGAGTTAGCCAAGATCTGCGGGGTGTTGAATAGCACCAGACCTGTGAACAAGTATGTCCGCTGCTTGGAGAACAGGGTATGAAAAAAGGCCAAGCCGTAACTCGGATCTTGCTGCTTGGCTTTCGAGAGTCGCCTCGTCGGGTAACTGAAGCTTGCTCTTTTCGGTGTTAATGCTGATGCCTCAACGATAGTTCTTTGCTGCAATGCCTGCAACCCATAGTCTCCGTCTTCCATCATGATTACTCACTTTCCATTGAGTCATTCGAGATAGGTATCCCATAGATGCTATCGTGCATAAGATCCAGAACAGCTCAGCATGTGATTGAACCTGACGGTGGGTTAGTGGACAAGAAAGACATTCAACTGATAAGAGCAGCACAGCGTACGGCGGATTGATAGAAGAGCGTGGAGCGGTTTGGATCTAAGCCCACGGCAATCAACGCGGCGAGCATTTGTTTCCTCCAGTCTCTCAATTGGCAGCGTTCTTGGGGCACTGTGAGCGCATGTAAATCCACGATAGAGAATACAAGTCTTGTCCCATCGGTCGCGGTGTCTTGCAATCGAACCCATTCCTTCAAAGCACCCAAGTAATTACCCAAGTGAGGCACACCTGTAGGCTGGATACCAGAAAAAATCGTGCGAGGTGCATCGGAAGCGCGTTTTGTAGTACAGATGCTAAATGATCTGTTAAGGTGACAGCTTTTCAGCTTTTCGTATCTGATGGGGATCCTGATGGGTCGTCCAGTGCAAAGCCGGTGCTCGTTGGCAGCCAATCTGAGATTCTTATTGAGGCAAGAGCTTATATTATACATGTTGTATCAACACCACCTTGTCAAGACGAGTTGCATATAGACATGGGTTTACATTGCAGACATGGGTTTACATTGCATCGCCCGGGAGCCGCGGAATATACCCGGCTGTTCATCACGTGATTAGAAGTAACTGGTGTCATGTAAAAAGATGTCATTGTATAGGAGCACCACCCCTTAATAGCCCGTGTATTCCGATCAGTCCTTGAACTATCTAGACAAAGGCCACTAAAGGAAACACGGACACGGGGCTACATGAGATGATTGAAGGCCGGGGATCCATAGCAGTGGGTGTCATGTTGGGATTGTGTTCTTATTTGCATTTGCGAAAGCTGTTGAGAACCATGCCGAGACAGAATGGTGTGTGATGGTGTGGACTGCAAATTTCTCCCAAGGTCGCTAAGCAGAAGTATCAGAGATTCCATGGCCCGGTAATACAGATCAAACAAGGCAGCAGCTTGTGTGGAAGTAGCCTTGACGGGTCAGCGCCTGCCGACCTCTGATAAGGGGCTCTTCAGTGTGACCAGGTGGTCTTTGTTCAGAATTTCAACAAGAGAATCGTCCGATTTTGTATCTTGTCTTTGACCGAATTGTGAAAGGAGTCCTTCAAGTGACTTTTCGGTTTCTGGACCCGCTCTGTCCAAGTTCTCGACGACATCTTAGGTACGAACAAATAGTCAGCTCTTACTAATGGTCAAATGCAGTAGAAGGCTTAGACATACCGAGACTGTCGTATTCCCACATGTTTGCTTTCATACCCACTCCATGAAATGCATATTTCCTCAAAAAAGCCAGCCACGCCTGGACAGTCTGTGGATTCCCATCTTTGACCTGAATCAGCCGACGCAGGGTTATACGCTCAAAGTTCTCTTGGCTCTTCTTGTGAACAAAATTGCTTCGGGGCACAGTCCATCTTTCGACAATGCGTGGTAAAGGTACAGGCCCAGAGACCGGAAGACCTAAGTAATATGCAGCTCGTATAGCGAAATCCGAAAAGAATTCAACATTTCGAACGCTGTATGATCTCAACTGTAGATCACACACTGGAAGACCATATTCAGCCTTTCTACGAAGCGGCCGTAGATATACGGCTTGAACGCTTCGGGGCAGCCGTGCCTTGCCACTTAAACTCTCAAGACGCTGCACCCTGTAGATATAGTTAGTCCGTTATTCGATCGACAATTTGCGTTCGAGTGAAAGTCCAACCAATCTTTGGCTTGCAGCTGAGGCGATGTAGATGGCTTTGTCGAGTGACCAGAACTAGACTGAAGTAAGCCAAAGAAGCTCGGAAGCGCGGGGAGTGAGTTATAGCCGCTGACATTCGTTCGTCCTTGACCAGACCGGAGGTGCGAGATACATCGGCGCTGAGTGGATTATTTCTTTCCAGCCCAGTCAAGGAGCTAGAGTGGCGAGTTAATATAAGAGGCTAATTATGCTGGTGTCAATAAGTGCCGTTCTTTTGACAGTGTGGCATTGGAGAGTCACCTGTAGTCGCTGGCCTACCCGTGAGAGCAGCCGCGGAGAGAATTTTAGAGACATGAGTACAGCGGTAAACGGTGACACTGGTACATTAAAATCATAAGATGATGCTGTTAAAAAGAGCGATGCATCGGTAATATGCTAGGTTTTCCAGGTCCGGTGCCTTCCCCAAAGGCGGTCGTACTTAAGCTGTCTCCCATTGGCTGTGGGTTGACCGCTTTCCATGAGCCGTCCCGCGTGTTGGCTGATGAATCAAGTACGGGACATGATGCAGCCAAAGATGATCTTACTTGCGCGAGGTAGCCTTATTTCTGTGAATGCACTTCTACTCATTCGGGCTGAGTCAACGCTACTAATCCAACCCCAGGTATTTGAACGCTTTCTGTTGCTCGAACCATGTGAGGAATTCCTCCCTGGCAACTCTGATGTGCCCGGCTTCTGTTTCAAGACGCAGCTGTTCATTGCTGATCACAACGAAACCTGCTCAAGTACTCGAATGAAGTAGCCAGGCCGAAAATCGCTCAGATGTCTGAGAGAGCACTCCGCCAAAGCAAGCCTAAGGCGCTCCGCCAGTCGGCTAGAAAATGTGCGCCATCTTTCGAGGCTGGGAGTTCATCGAAAACCCACGATGCCAGGAATCAGAGCATCGCGCAAGCGAACAATTCTCTGGAAGCGGCACCAAACAGCAAAAGGACGCGGGCGCATAAGCCCATGCAGCAGAAGAGACAAAGGCTTACCGCCCCAGAGCAGTTGACCTCAATTCAAAGTGCTGGGAATGTTTGTGGTAGTTATGACGCCCGACAGGTTGGTATGGCATGTTCGAATGAGCGTCGCGCTCAGTCGTGCTCGGGCTTCTCTAATGCCAGTGCTGCTGTGGTCGGGAACGAAAAGAATGACAGTCACCATCGCTCTTCCAGCAAATCGTCCCTCGTGGCAGGTAGTTCTATTCCTTTGTCTCTGGCGTCGGCTGCTCAAATCGAGTCTGAACGCGAAGCCTCAGTTCACTCGCTAAGCAGATCGCCAATCTCAAGTCATCTCTCACAAACTAGGGACAGACCTGAGAGAAATATGCCGACAGTTCCATATCAGCAACGAGTGAGGCCAACGCGAAGAAGGCTTGTTGATTCCTTAAGCGCGGCAGAGGAGTCAGTCCTGAATGAAGTATCCGCCTCCGACTCTGAAACCTGTGGCGCAAATACATCTTCCGTGCTAGGAATCCCCCAATCAGAGGCTGGAGCTTTGCAGCTGGACCAATTTCGGGATCAGCAAGGTCCCGTCAAGTCCTCAAACAATGACAGGGAGGCAGGAACATTGGTTTCAAGCACTCTTTTACGTTCCAGGATAACGTACGCTCGCCAACGCTCGTTTCTAGGAAGTACCTTGAGCACCTCTGACTCTGAGTTACATGGCGCTTCCGCTTCAACTTTGGACGGTGTTGAAGCTAGTGGTTCATCTGCCTCACTCAAACATCGCAGTACACCTTTGTTGTCTGCCGATGGCGAGGAACACGGCAGGCCTGTCCGTAGCATCCATGAGCTGAGGCAGGCTGGGGACAATGCTCGCTTCCAAGAGTCGGTTGAAGCACTATTCGATGATTTTGAAGACCCGGGCAACCCCGTTTCCGAGAGATGCAATGGGCTCATTCAGCTGTGTTCGAAGCTACTCAAACCCGACTTCATGCATCGATTCTTGGAATATGGCTTCGATGAACGACTAGTTCAAACTACGGTGAGCAATTTAGACATTATCTCATCTTGTCTAGCACTGTGTGCCTATAGATTGGTCTGTCTCAAAGGGGTTTATTCGTACTCAAATTTGGGAACATTTTGGACAACTCTTGTCGACAAATCTTCATTATTTCTAGCAGTGAAAGACGATATAATGTCCTTGGCCGGCAATCCACGATTGCATGTGTCAAGAGCCGTGCAAGCGTCACTCAGGGATCTCATCCCACGATTGACAGCTTCGATGTTCTCAGAAAGCCCGACACTGAGACTTTCTCCACGGCTAGCCATTCTTTCCTGCATTAGCATTTGCTTGACAGCATTCCAAGACAAGTCTCAACCTATACAGCCCATTTCCCGGTCTTTGCTAGATAACCTTATTGGGCTCCTGCCTCCGAACAATGGTAAAGCCACAGCATACCCTCTGTCCTACGACGATTTTCAAACAAAGACAATGACTCTCCTTGTTCTGGAGAGTTACCTAATGCTTCCAGCGACATCAGGCTACGAGTACAATGGTCCTTTCCACAAATTTGTCCTGATGCATGATGACTTCATTCGTCCTGCCCAGGATGACCAAGGCCGACGAATCTTGACGTTATATTTGAGGGTCGTACTAAACCTCACCAACAATGATCCTCTGGCGTGCGAGCAATATGCCGCACCTGAAATAATCACCGGATTTGTTCGAATCATCACAACTGAGCTTTCAGATGCGTCTGCTATCGTCGGCTTCGGTGAGCACGAGTCATTCAACCTCGTCATCTTGGCTCTAGGTGTTCTTATAAACCTGGCAGAACAAAGTGAGAGTTGCAGAGCCTCCTTTCTTGTGCCAACACATGCCTCGCATCCACCCCTTGGGACACTTGTACATCAGTTTTCTCTCAGCATCGACCTCATCAACCATGTAAGTGTTGAAAGTTCGCTGCCAGTAGAAATCACCGCTCATCTAATCACCAGGCAAATTCCCTTTCCGAGTCACATAATAATGTTGCTGTCGGGTACTTGTCAATACTGCTAGCTCTTCTCTGTCTACTTAAGGAAGCATACTTTCGAATTCAGGAACTGCTCATGGAATGTGGTAAGGGGATCGCCTCGGTCATTTCAACAGCGAAAGAATTCTTGCTATATCATCAGAAAGTCGAAAGGGACTCACGACTCGGCGAATTCCAAAATCGCGACAACACATCCACGGCACGTTTGACACATATCATAGAGCAGATAAGCCAACCGTAGAACAAACCCGTTACCATGGTGACAATACCTTCATCCACCATAGCTAGGTGCGGTTTTAGCACCAGGGTCTCGAATGGTGTACGGATTTCTTATGATAGAGTACTTGCTCGGTACCATAATCAACTCAGGCATAATAATCACTAGGCATGGAAAAGTCTTCAAACATGGCATTATTTTCTGCAGCCAAAACAACAAATCTGGTACTGTAACAGTTAAATTATAATCGATAAGGCGATAAGTTTAACCCAATGCGCTAAATGCCCTTCCCGTCCTGACATAATAGGTATGTGCAGCCGTTTGATTTGTTTGCCACTCTCGGCTGGAGTTCTAATGTCCCGAATTCCATCTTTATGATGAGGGCTGCTGAGACTACAGGAACTTATAGTTTCTTTCCTCATACTAATCCGTTTTGACTATTGCGGGGAATCTGCCACTGCGCTACGCTCCAGAAAGAATTCTGTACCGCTCAAAGGTCTTTCTGCGTCAGTATACATCCTGCCTATAAGCGTTAATCTGTACTGCTATTTAAGAGGAAGATGCCCAGTGCTCCGAAGCAGCGGAAGATAGCTATTGTTGGCAGTCGGTCTGTGGGTAAGCATCTGCTATTATTTTTTAATTTCTACTATAATCGCCCCCCAAACTGACCTGTGATGAACTTGTGACTGTTTAGGTAAATCTTCTCTTACAGTTCGGTTCGTTGAACATCATTTCGTAGAAAGCTACTATCCCACGATTGAGAACACGTTCAGCCGCATTATCAAATATAACGGTCAGGACTACGCAACTGAAATTGTTGACACAGCTGGTCAAGTAAGAAAGACCCATGTAATCTTACTCAATGGCATGGCTAATCCTGCGATAGGATGAATATAGCATACTGAATTCAAAGCACTTCATTGGCATCCATGGATACATAATTGTCTACTCGGTGTCATCCCATCAATCATTCGATATGGTCAGAGTCATTCGAGATAAGATACTAAATCATTTGGTACTACCCTAGAACCTATTCACTGCAGCTCCATTATACTGATGCAATAACACAGGGTGCTGACCACGTGCCCCTTGTTATTGTTGGAAATAAGAGTGACCTCAAGTCAGAACAGCGTCAGGTGTCCTTGGATGAAGGGCGGCAACTGGGCGAAGAATTTAACTGTGCATTCACTGAGGCCAGTGCTCGACTCGATTACAATGTTGCAAAAGCCTTTGACTTGATGATCGGCGAGATTGAAAGGTCCCAGAACCCATCTCAACCTGCAGGAGGGAACAAATGTTCCGTAATGTGATCCTTCTAAAATCACTAGGTATCACTCGATGGGTAATGTGTCTGGGTGGGGTGGGAAGATCTGTTTAAATATGCCTAGCCACCTACAAAGCCTCCCTTTGTTCTATGTATGGCGTGTCCTTGGTTTCTTTTTACTATCTTACATGTTAATCATTTTAAATGAATCTGACAATACTTCAGCATAATACAACAACTCTGCTATACTGACTAGACTTCAAAAAAGTATATGTGAATACTGCATTCCATCTATATAAGCCAAGCATAATCAGCTCGAACATCTGCTCTGCAGTAGGAACTGGGAGCAGGTGGCACTCGGGGAGGGAATGGTGAACGAACTCGGCCTGAAATCAATTTGATGCTATGCCCGAATAGTCAGGCCACCTAGAATTTTGCCCCTCATCCTACACGGCAAGAAAGTTCAGCCTTTTTCAAATACCCCTCTTTGTCAGTGCTCGACCACTTTACCATTCACAGATCAGATATACTTTCTCACAATCGAGTCTGTAAATTTTTACGTATACTTGAGCATACTGGACCATTTTCAACACACCGCTCAAAAATGCTTGACCTTGCTGATTTTATCACCGAACGCGGTGGTAACCCGGACAGAATTAAGGACAGCCAGCGCAAAAGATATGCACCCGAACATGTTGTCGATGAAGTCCTCGACCTATATGAAGAGGCAAGAAGGGGTATATTGACACATATTATCATTTCACCGTGCAATTGGAA